ACCCCTTTTATATGTACATGTCTTAGTTCAATAATTTGTTGTTCTTTTGCTTTAGTTGTACTTTATTTTGTACTTGCTTGAAAAAAAAAGAAAAAGAAATACAGAAATATTGCATGGAAACATTAACTTGACATCAAAGATACATACACTCAACATATTCAGTTCATCTATTCTGGGACAATGAAACCATTCACATAATTTAAAACATACAAAATCACTGGTTGTCATTTACTGTTCTTGTGTACATACTAGTACTACATGTGGCTAAAGAAAAGAAAGCAAATCAAGCAACAAACTTTCAACTCCAAACAAATTTCTATCGACTGCAAAATCATTTAAAGGCACTCTATGTAGTTTTTGCGCAAAAAATTGAAATATTCTAATTATACTAAATTTCGGTGCTATTAACAGTTACTATCACTTTTCAACACATTTGTGTCATTATTTCACATTTTTATACGTATATTTTGTCCGTTCAAACAGTCCTTGTTCGGTTCTCGGTGCCACCGGTTTGCTCAGGAGAACAACAACAACATACAGGGGTTGCCCCCTGGGGTGGCTAATTGGCCCGGGCATGCCAGGCTTGATAGACAGGGGCAGATGTCACAAGATATACCCTCCTTAGAAAAAACTCATATCTTTCACATGAGGTGGAATATAATTATCAACTTAGAGTATTTTGTTGGGCATGAATAAACTGTGGTCATTATCCCTTCAAAAGAGATAAAAATCTGGTAAACGATTAGGTATTTCAGAAACTGGTAAGCTATCAACTGACACCCCACTGGGATGTAGGTCAAACCACTGGGAGTGGACAATACCATATGTGTGGTTTGGCCAGAGGTTGAATAGAAGATCATTCACAGTTTTCTAAGCTTCTAAGGAGCAAGGATGTTGTATTTTTTGCTGTGGAGTATAATTTTGGAATACTAATGGGTTAAGCCAATGTACTATGTAAAGAAAAGAATAAAAAATATACTTTTTGTATTGTCAAAAAACTACATAGAGTGACTTTAATCTAAGCTCAGCTTTCGACGATTTCTTCTCACTCTCTCTGCCAGTCGGATCACTTCCACCTTTTGGAATAAGTTCGGCGTCTGTCTTTCCGCTTTCGCCATCGTTTCTCCGCAATCGCCACGTTACTAGTACTTGTTGTTGTTGTTAGTCGAAAAGTGGAAGAGAACGACATCGCCATGTTTTTGCTCTTTGGTGAACACTTGCTTCGCGCGACCGACATACGCCACAGCGAATTCCAACCACGTAAATAAGTTATTTTGTACCAAGATACTGTCTATTTAGTTAACAGCAAAATAATTGTTCGTCAGTTGCCAGTTACTTTCCGTTTTTGGTCGTTTTTGAACATGAAAACTTAGCGAAAACTCTCCTTTGTTTACGGCTTGGGTTTCTCCCCGCGTGGGTTGTCTGCCTCTACCATTATGCCAATGTGGTAGTCAACAGAAAATTTTCTCCTTTCAGACTTATATCTTTTCTAAAATATCCACTACAGTGTTAAATTTACATCTAAAATTACTTTAAGTAATGTATTTCAAATGTTTTCATAATGTAATTACATCATTTGACGCTAATAAGGTTAAATAAAACTCGGTGTATCTACCTCCATAACAGTGTAGTCTTCCGATGACCCCAATTGACCTCCCTCTGCAGCTAACACATGCGCCATCTTGGAAAAATACG